CGCTGTTTGGGGAATAAATATATATGTTTATACCTACGTATAAGGAGTCGCCCCAAGCTATAACTCAGTCATGATAGTTTTAACTTAAGTTTTCGGAGCTATATCAGTTGCAGAAGTTATGCTATATCTTGTGTAACTAAGTTATAGCTTAGTTCTAGCTTGTTGTGAATTGAAAATGCATATGATTTTTGGCAAATGAAAACCATTATTATTCAAGAAGGTATGCACAACCTCTATATCAGGTAGCAGTTCCCAAGCTTTTGTGGCACCGGATGCAGTTTATTTGTTTGCAGAGTCTTTGAAACTGAGAGTATGCAGGTGAATTCCTCGCGTGAGGCAAAAGGAGGGCCTGCAAGCCGCAAAAAATCAGCAGGAACAGAAAAATCCCGAACACAAAAAACAACACAAAACACACATGTATGTGGTTTGTGCCTCCGGCCTTCATAATTAATACATATGTGCACAGCAATCCGGCCCAATCCAATACCTGAAACATTCCAAAAATACAACCAAACACTGTGTTTCAACAGCGCGGGTATTATTTACACATATATGTTTCCATGCCTTTTGGTTTAAAACACAACCAAAATACAAAGCCGCGACACGGAAACACATACTTGTTACCTACTATGTTTCACCAACATGGCCCCTACATGTTTCTTAACCGGGCAGACAAACACATATATGCTTCGACACTTTTGGGCCGAAAAGCTTGAAACACACACGTTTTTTGTATTGTCGCATTGTAAACAAAGGCCTTGATTGTCCTGGAGTGCCGCTTCAGAGGCAAAGAGAGCAGCAAAGACTTACAGCTGAAGGACTCGACAAGGATACAAGGGCACAAGGAAACAGGGCACAAGGGCACGGGAACAGGAGAGGACCGATGCCGAGACTCTTTCTTGTCCTTTCATGAAACATGAAATCCAAGTTGTCCTATTCATCGCCTCAAGATGAATGGAAGGCTTCACTGACTCATCGACTTCACCACCGAAAACACCGAATCTCAAATTTCCAGACCTTTCAGAGCTTAGGCAGAGTAGGTTTCACAGACATGACGCACCTGAAGCCTGAAACCTCCTAGGAGTCTAGCGCTGGCTGCAGCAGGGCTGAGCTGGGTGACATCATCGGAAGAGCCAGGCACTTCTGGACGTGACGAGTCACACGACCACACCAAAAACGTGCACTCAAAACTTGCGTCCACAGGCCTCCATGCGTTGCGCAACGGCGATCGCCACCTGAGCAGCCGGGAGGGAAACATTCGCATGCGCCTGGGCGTCCGATGTAGATCCTGATTGCAGGATCCAAAACAAGACAGCCTCTGATGCTGAATTGGAACCATCCCAATATTCCAATCTTCGAGGCCGCGACAGAAATGGCATCTCCGAGGCCTGAAACCTTTGGGGCAGGGCTGATGAAAACTTTCAAGGTCCACGGAGTCCAACGTTCAGGTTTTGGGATTTCGGGATTGCGGCCGCTGATGATCAGACTTTGGCTTCTTTGGTTTTTGTGTGGGCCTGGGGGACTGGAGCTGCCTAAGCCCGCAGGTGGATAAGAAAAGCCATCACAGAATCCATCGGCTCTTGTACGCTGGACAGGATTAGAAGAAGAACAAAGTGTCAACATGTAGCTCTCCAATTAATCCAATCCAGAAAGCCTCACCCCAGACTGAAATGCCAAGTGCTCAGGACCCAAGCTCTAAACTGGATGTAAGCAATGTAAGCCTCGCACCAATAACTTAAGCCTGCACCGAAATCCAAGAGCGCTTGAATGAACCGGCCCCCAACATCTCCCAAACCCCAAAAAGCATACAACTCTGCGGGCGCCTTCAGCTCCTCCACTGCCTCTCGAGCTGGTCGGGCCTCGACACCGTCGGAAGCCTTCAGGAAGTGTTCAGGCTGACAGCTTGAACCCCGATTCAGAAGTTACGAAGCTTGAGGCTTTGTAGGGCTTTATGGCTCAAAGCAGCTTGAGGCTTTGCATCCTGAGGCTCGCGAACAAGAAAAGGTATAGGCTGGGTGGGGCGAAAACAATTTCTGAAAGCTGCCACAAGAGCCCCACCCAAGTAAACGATTTAGGGTTCAAGAGTTCGGGGTATATTGGGACTTGAAGCTTTGCTTGGAAGACCCCTAATAGTTGGTTGCACAAGCAGCTACTATCTACGACATTTGGGTGTAGCTGTAAGATTTCGGAGGTTCGAAGGATGAGGTGTAAGGGCTCGCGCAGCAAGACTTCCCGCTTGCAAGGTTTAAGCCTTTCACGTGTTGTTTACGGATATCACGGGCAGTCCAGGGGGGGTTTAGGGTTTAGTCCGGCGGGGCGTAGGTAAATCGTCTCTCAGGTTGGGTGCACGGCCGGAAAGACCGCAAAACAAACGCACAAACACACAGAGAGAGACACACGGAGACACACACACACACACACTCACCAACACAAACACACAAACAAACCAGCAAACAAACAAAAATACATACATACATACATACATACATACATACATACATACACACATACATACATACACACATACACTTTCTTTCGGACGCTGCAAAGGA